CCATTCACACGCATTTGCGGAAGACTGGCCTGGCGGAGTTGAGCAGCTCTCCCCAACCTCGCTGAGTCAGCCTTCCCCCTCCCCCAACAGCAGCCCAGTCAGCCTCCCCTTTTCCCTTTACCTCGCTGAGTCAGCCCGCCCGTGTGCCGCATTACCCGCCTCCTCTCTTGTTGCTCCCAGTCAGCCTCCCGCTCCCCCACAAGCACCCAGTCAGCCAGCCCCGCATTCCCACTTGCGCCCATGATCCTCCCCCCCTGCCCTTCTCATTGCCCAGTCAGCCCCGCGGGTCAACCGCTCCTGCCTCCTCAGTACGCGCCCTCCGCAAAGTCCGCCAACCGCCCCCTCCACCTACACCATCTACACAGCAGAGAAGCTCTGTTGTGCTTACACGTAAGGAGCGTCCCTGCTCAGAGCTGGGACCATTCTCACACGTAAGCCCTAATTTCTTCCGTTTCCTGACTTGAGCCGAGGTTGGCTTGTTTTCTAAGTTCTGAAAGCGCAGCCTAACGAAGCCGCGCTGCGTCACGGATTTTCGAAGCTCGAGGATTACTGCCAAGGAAGAATTTGATCGTTCGAAAAGCGTCGTCGAAAGTCAAGTCGCCATCTCCAGCGCCTGTTATGGGATCGACTGACGTAGGTGTAGCGGCAAACGCGATGAGTAAGGTAGCGCAAACTTCGGTTTTGCGTTCTCTGCCTTTCGGGTCCGTTTTTTCCCTCTTTTTTCTTTACCATTAATTAGTTCTTGTTTATTTCAAGCGTTTCACTGTCTATCTACCGTTGTCCTTCTCTGCCGGGCCAAGTCATTCTCATAGTTTTCTCCACTTCCTCCGCACCTTTCACGCCTGCATACTCACACCCGTAGTCCTCCGCCACGTTTCTCAACACTCATATGTTCTCCGTCGCGGTGTCGTTGTCTCACGACCTATTCATTATCTGTTCACCGCAGGAAGCGCAATGGTATGGCAAGGATCAACAGATGCCGGCAGGCTACCCCGACTGGGCCGCGCTTCCAGGTAACCTCACGCACGTAACCAATATATATATCCGCTCGTGTAAGGCGCCTCGAGAGCCCATGTAACCTCACCACATGTAGTCAGTCTCTTTCCCGAGTTACCAGCAACTACCCGCCGTAGCAGCCACCAGCAACTACCCGCCGTTACCAGCCAGAGGTTACCAGTGTTACCAGTCGCAACCAGCCACCACTAGCGATCGCCAGCTGTGGTAACCAGCGTCAGGCGCCCCTCGCCGCTCTAGCAAGCGACCCTTGTAGAGAAGTCCGAGCCTGCAGTTGACGCGTTTTGAGCTGGAAGCTCGCTCTTTCTGTCCATACGCCTCTGAGCTGGAGGCTGTGATTGGTTTACATGTAGCCGGACTGCATGCCGCACCTCTCTGTCGTCTGGTTCGAGTGCCCCTCGACGGCCGCACCTAGCAAGCTACCCTTGTAGAGCAGTCCAGGCCTGCAGTCGACGCGTTTTGAGCCAGGCCTCACAGTTTCTGTCCGAACCTTTTGAGCTAGGAGCTGTGGTTGGTTCAACCATAGCGGGATGCCATGCCTCGCCTCTCTAGACAGAGAGGTGGTGCTGTCTAGTTTGAATGCCCCTCTATACCGTGCCATCCCGGTGTCGCGCCTATCGTGGTGGCGCCTGTCGAGGTGGTGCCTGTCGAGGTGGTGCCTGTCGAGGTGGCGCCTGTCGAGGTGGTGCCTGTCGAGGTGGTGCCTGTCGAGGTGGTGCCTGTCGAGGTGGCGCCTGTCGAGGTGGTGCCTGTCGAGTTGGCGCCTGGCGAAGTGCGGCCGGCGGGCGAGCCAAACCAATGCCGGCTTGCTGGCCTGCGCGTGACATCGTCTATTCAAACCACGGCGGGCGAGTCAAATTCGCACAACAGTCTTTCCCATCCGTCCACTCATGGCAGCGCGCGTCCCCTTCCTAATCCCGTCCCCTTGTGTGCGTGTGCGAGTGCGTGTGCGTGTTCGAGTGGCCCCGCGTGTGCCCCGCGTGTGACCCCGCGTGTGTCCCCCTGTTTGTCCCCCCGTGTGCGCGCGCGTGTGTCCCATCGTGTGTGCGCCATGCCTTCATTCTTGCCAGGCGTACTACGGGCAGGCGGGGCAGCCACCGCCGGGGTACTACCCTGCAGCAGCCGCCGCTCCCCAGCATCACCCCTACATGTGGGGGCAGGTGCGTCGCTTGCCTTACGATGCATTGTTTTTCGGGCCACGGCCACTCCCCCCCTCACTTCCTCGCCGCTCCAGGGCCATCCCTACATGTGGGGGAAGGTGCGTAGCTTGGCTCGCACTAGATCATTTGGGTCGCTCCCTTTCCCCGCACAGCCTCGCCCCTTGCTTTTCCCCCGCCAGTTCCACACAGTCTATCTCTCCCTCCCCCTCCCCCTCCCCCTCCACCCTCCCCTCTCCCCCTTTGCCTCACCGCTCCCCCTTTGCGTCTCCACTCCCCCTCTGCGTCTCCAACTACCCGATCCCCCCTTCCCCCATGGCACCGTACGGCCACCCGCTCATCACCTTCCCCTCCCTCCACCGTCTACCCCCCTCCCTCCACCCACACCCCCCTCCCTCCACCCGTCTACCCCCCTCCCTCCACCCACACCCCCCTCCCTCCACCCGTCTACCCCCCTCCCTCCACCCGTCTACCACCCCCTCCCTCCACCCGTCTACTCCCCTCCCTCCTCCCCTTACCCTCCTCCACCCCCCCCCCCCCACCTCCCTTTCTCCGCGCAGCACCTGATATTACCACGGCTCACTTTCCCCCTCCTCCCCACCTCCTCCCCTCCCGCCTCCCCTGCCCCCACCCCCCTCCATCCGCTTCCCACCGCAACCCCTCCCCCATGCGGTAGCACGTGATGCCGCCCAATGGCTCACCTTTCCCCTCCCTCCGCTTCCCCGATTCCCCCGCTTCCCCCGAGCAGCACATGATGACGCCCTACGGCCAGCCTCCCATCATCTTCCCGTCTTCCCCCTCCCTCCTCTCCTCCGCTCCCCCTCTCCCCCCTCCCCCTCTCTCTCCTCCCCCGCTCCCCCCGAGCAGCACATGATGACGCCATACGGCCAGCCTCCCCCCTATGGCGCCCCCATGTATCCCCCTGCTGCCATGTACCCGGTAAGAGCAGCTGTCATGTACTCGGTAAGAGCAGCTGCCATGTACCCGGGAAGAGCAGCTGCCATGTACTCGGTAAGAGCAGCTGCCATGTACCCGGTAAGAGCAACTGCCATGTACCCGGTAAGAGCAGCTGCCATGTACCCGGTAAGAGCAGCTTCGGTACAAGCCACTGTGTTCCTGTTAGGAGTTGTGTTGTCATGGATACAGCAAAAGCTGTCTTATATGCATTCATGTACACCAAATGACCTGTTTTATTTTCCCTACATTAGCGTTTTTTTCTTCCATCGCCTTACCATTCTTCTCCCTCTTTATTCCCTCTTCCTCTACTTCCCTCCTCTACTTCCCTCCTCACTTCCCTCCTCACTTCCCTCCTCACTTCCCTCATCACTTCCCTCCTCGCTTTGCCGCTTTCCCTTCTCCCAGTCTTATGCTCCCACTTTTCCTTCCCGTTCCACTCTCCTGCCCACTCTGTCTCGTTAAAAGCAGGGCGCGCAGCCCTATATGGGATACGGCATGCCGTCAGCGACTGCAGCATCAATGGACGCTTCTTCGGTATGTATGTAACAACTATGGGGTGTAACGTGTATGGCGTGTAAAGTGTATGCGTATGGAGTGTGACATGTATGCAATGTAACGCTTATGGACTGTAACGTGTATGGAATGTAACGCTTATGGAGTGTAACATACGTGGAGTGTAGCATGTATGGAGTGTAACATGCGTGGAGTATAGCATATATGGAGTGTAACACTTTTGGAGTCCGAGCTGGTTCGTGACTGGGAACCTGGTCACCACCATGAGTGGTAACCCCATTTGCATGTGTGTGTGGTAACTGGATCTGCCTGTAACCAGCGCTTCCATTGTTCTGTCACAGTGACACGCCTCCCGTATTGCTCTCCGTCCCGCTTCACCCTCCTCCCCTTTCTCCCCTCCCCCTTCTCCCACCTCCCTCCTGTCTCTCCCCCCCTTTCACCCACCCCAATACTCCCTTATTCTTACATTGCCAGGCCATGGCGCCAGTGGCAATGCACGCGGAGCAGAGATGGGGGGTGAATGATGCGTGTTCATTCTTGTTCCCTCCTTCCGCTCCCCCTCCCCCGTCCCCCTCCCCTCCCATACGCCCTTGTCCCCTGACCCCCTTCCCCAGGCCATGGCGCCAGGCATGGCGCCAGTGGCAATGCACGCGGAGCAGAGGGATGGGGGAGGGGCGGCAGCAGCAGCAGGCGCAGGGGGAGGGGGAGGCGGGGGAGTGGGGGAAGATGGAGGGGGCGCAAAGGCTGGGGAAGGGGGGGCTATGGGCGCGGGGGGAGGGGGAGGGGGAGGGGGAGGCGGAGGCGGAGGGGGGATGGGACCGGGGGGCGGGATGACGTCAGAGGGGTCAAAGCTGCAGTCAGGGAATGGCGTGTTCTCCACCAGGTGTGTGCGGGGGTGGGGAGGGGTGTGGATGGGTGGGTGTGTGTGCGGATGGGTGTGCATGGATGGGTGGGTGTGTGGGTGGGTGGGTGGGTGTGTGGGTGGGTGTGTTGGGACTGGGGGGGTTGAGGGTTGGGTGGATGGGTGGCTTGTGGATTGTTGGGTGCTGGGGTTGGTGTGGGTGAGAGGGTGTGCGTGTGGGTGGGGGGTTGGATGGGTGTCCATGCGGGCCCATAGTTTCCCACGTATGTTGTCACCCACCCATTCACTCTCACTCACTCACTCGCTCAGCCGTCCACTTGCTCTCGCCGGCCCGTGCTCGCACTCACTCAACCCAACCCATCCCCTTCCCATCCTTTTTCTTTGCCTTTGGTTGACACCTGTATGGCTAATTCATGTTGCTGTTGCGCAAGTATAGGTTCTAGTCGACTCGAAAGCCTTCTCTTTGCCTTTCTGTAACACCTGTGTCGCTAATCCATGTTGCGTGGTGGTGGTGGTGTTGCAGCGGAGGGGAGGATGATTCGGAGGAGGACGAGGGCACGGACCACAATGAGGTGAGTGCTGCTGCTGCTGCTGCTGCTGTGTGTGTGATGATGCTATTATGATGTGGTGTGATACCATGACTTTGTGTTAGCATGCACTTGGGTGTGATTATGATGCTATTATGAATCGGAGGAGGACCGAGGATGGGCACGGACCGCGATGAGATGAGAGATGAGTATTGTCGCTTGCGTGATGATGTCATGGTGATTCCAAAGGGGGAGAGAGAGGAAGAGCGTAGAAAAATATAACAAAGGCTTCAAACTGCTAAGGTCAACTTATTTCTTATCCCTTGTTCTCCACCCTTCCTTCTCCTTCTCCTTCCTCTCTCCCCTTCTCCCCTTCTTCCCCACGGGACCTCCCCCTTTGCAGGAAGGGGGGGGCACTGGCGGAAAGGCAGGGGAAGCGGGGGAGATGGGGGGAATGGTGCCTCTAGAGTCCTGGTCCTGGTCCGCGCAAGCCCAAGCCCAGGCTCAAGCTCAGGCTCAAATGCACCAGGCTCAAGCCCAAGCCCAGGCTCAAGCTCAGGCTCAAATGCACCAGGCTCAAGCCCAAGCCCAGGCTCAAGCCCAGGCTCAAGCTCAGGCTCAAGCCCAGGCTCAAGCTCAGGCCTCATATGCTATATTAGCTCCTCTTTTTTGTCCTTTGTTCTCTACCCTTGCTTCCCCTTCTTCTTCCCCTCTCCCCCCTGCTTCTCCTGTGCACCTCCTCAATACGCAGGAAGCAGGGGGCGCTGGCGGAAAGGCAGGGAAAGGAGGGGAGATGGGGGGAATGGTGCCCATAGACTACTGGTCCGCGCAAGCCCAAGCTCAGGCACGAGCCCAGGCACAAGCCCAGGCACAAGCCCAGGCACAAGCCCAGGCACGAGCCCAGGCACGAGCCCAGGCACAAGCCCAGGCACAAGCCCAGGCACGAGCCCAGGCACGAGCCCAGGCACAAGCCCAGGCACAAGCCCAGGCACGAGCCCAGGCACGAGCCCAGGCACAAGCCCAGGCACAAGCCCAGGCACAAGCCCAGGCACAAGCCCAGGCACAAGCCCAGGCACAGGCATAGATGCACCAAGGCCTCATATGCAGTGGGTAACTCTTCTTTCCTTCCCCTTCTTCTCTACCCTCCTTCCCCTTCTTCTCTAACCTTCCTTCCCCTTCTTCTCTTTTCCTCCTCCCGTTCTTCCCCTTTGCACCTCCCGTCTCTGCAGGAAGGGGGGGGCGCTGGCGGAAAGGCAGGGGAACCGGGGGAGATGGGGGGAATGGTGCCCATAGACTACTGGTCCGCGCAAGCCCAGGCCCAGGCGCAAGCTCAGGCCCAAATGCACCAAGCAGCAGCAGCTGCGGCAGCAGCAGGACAGATGGGGCCGGGGGGGCAGGGAGTGGGTATGGCAGGCGGAATGGGGGGGATTCCGGGAGTGGGAACGGGCGGGGGGGCGGCGGGAGGAGCAGGGGGGGCTGGGGGGATGGTTGGCGGGGGGATGGGTGGTGCTGCTGGTGGCAGTAGCGGTGGTGGTGGTGCTGGGGGCGCAGGGGGAGCAGTGGCTGGGAAGAAACGGGGTGCTGTGGGGGGGACAGGAGGTGGAGGGATGGGGATGTCGTCAGACCTATGGGTGCACTCTGTGAGTCTCTTTTCCCCTCCCTCTGTCCGAATCTCTTTTTCCTGTCTCAATCTGAGTCTCGTTTTCCTTTCTTGCTCTAGTCCCTTTTTCCCCTCCTGCACTTTCTGAGTCTCGTTTTCTATTTGCGTGTAAGATGTTTTATGAGGAAGCAATATACCTAGAAGAACGAACATATCCGATAAACCTAATCCGCCCTCTGTTTTAAGTCCTCTTTGGTTTACATTTGCAGAATCTCAACAACGTATCTAACAAACCTGTTTTCACCCCGCCCTCCTTTCCCCCTTTTCCCCCCCATCCTTCCTCTTTGCGAGCTGGACGATTGTGAGGTGAATGAGCAGCGCTGTGGCATATTAATGATTCTAATCAAAACATACAACCATCCCCCCGCTCTCTGTCCGCGTGAGTCAGCAAGACGACCGGGAGGTGAAGAAGCGGGTTATGTTGAAACCCCACCCAACCCTTCTCCCCTCCCCCCCTCCCCCTCCCCCTCCCCCTCTCCCTCTCCCTCCCCCTCTGTGTGAGGGAACAGGACGACCGGGAGGTGAAGAAGCGGGTTATGTTGAAACCCCACCCAACCCTTCTCCCCTCCCCCCTCCCCCTCCCCCTCCCCCCTCTCCCTACCCCTCTGTGTGAGTGAGCAGGACGACCGGGAGGTGAAGAAGCAGCGCCGTAAGCAGTCCAACAGAGAGCCGGCAGTCAACAGCGGGTTATGTTGTACCCCCCCCCCCCCCCCTCCCCCCCCAACCCTTCTCCCCTCTCCCCTCCCCCTCCCCTTTTCCCTCCCCCTCTGTGTGTGCGGGCAGGACGACCGCGAAGTGAAGAAGCAGCGCCGCAAGCAGTCCAACAGAGAGTCGGCTAGACGGTCGCGGCTGCGCAAGCAGGTGCATGGCGAGAGGGGGGCTGGGGGTTGGGTAGCTGGGAATGACTGAGGGAGGGATGTGGGTGAGAGGCAAGCAGTCCAACAGAGAGTCGGCTAGACAGTCGCGGCTGCGCAAGCAGGTGCATGGCGAGAGGGGGGCTGGGGGTTGGGTAGCTGGGAATGACTGAGGGAGGGATGTGGGTGAGAGGCAAGCAGTCCAACAGTGAGTCGGCTAGACGGTCGCGGCTGCGCAAGCAGGTGCATGGCGAGAGGGGGGCTGGGGGTTGGGTAGCTGGGAATGACTGAGGGAGGGATGTGGGTGAGAGGCAAGCAGTCCAACAGAGAGTCGGCTAGACGGTCGCGGCTGCGCAAGCAGGTGCATGGCGAGAGGGGGGCTGGGGGTTGGGTAGCTGGGAATGACTGAGGGAGGCATGTGGGTGAGAGGCAAGCAGTCCAACAGAGAGTCGGCTAGACGGTCGCGGCTGCGCAAGCAGGTGCATGGCGAGAGGGGGGCTGGGGGTTGGGTAGCTGGGAATGACTGAGGGAGGGATGTGGGTGAGAGGCAAGCAGTCCAACAGAGAGTCGGCTAGACGGTCGCGGCTGCGCAAGCAGGTGCATGGCGAGAGGGGGGCTGGGGGTTGGGTAGCTGGGAATGACTGAGGGAGGGATGTGGGTGAGAGGCAAGCAGTCCAACAGAGAGTCGGCTAGACGGTCGCGGCTGCGCAAGCAGGTGCATGGCGAGAGGGGGGCTGGGGGTTGGGTAGCTGGGAATGACTGAGGGAGGGATGTGGGTGAGAGGCAAGCAGTCCAACAGAGAGTCGGCTAGACGGTCGCGGCTGCGCAATCAGGTGCATGGCGAGAGGGGGGCTGGGGGTTGGGTAGCTGGGAATGACTGAGGGAGGGATGTGGGTGAGAGGCAAGCAGTCCAACAGAGAGTCGGCTAGACGGTCGCGGCTGCGCAAGCAGGTGCATGGCGAGAGGGGGGCTGGGGGTTGGGTAGCTGGGAATGACTGAGGGAGGGATGTGGGTGAGAGGCAAGCAGTCCAACAGAGAGTCGGCTAGACGGTCCCGGCTGCGCAAGCAGGTGTGTGTGTGGCGAAGGGGGGGTGGGAGTGTGTGTGTGGCGACGGGGGGGTGGGAGGTTGTGGGAGTGTGAGGAGGGTCTGATGGGGGGGGTGTGTGCATGCTCTTAACAAATATCTTCTCATCGTTTTTTTCTCCTTTTTCAAGTATTTTTCTTCTTCACAAATATCTTACAAATATCGTGTCCTCTTACAAATGTCGTCACCTTCTATAAATGCCGTCTCCTTCTATTAATGTCGTCTCCTTGCACAAGTGTCTTCTCATTTACAAACGTATTTTCCTCTTACGAATGCCTTTTCCTCTTACAATTGTCTTCTCCTCTTACAAAAACTATTCCCTCACCCCCAGGCGGAGTGTGAGGATCTGATGGGGCGGGTGCGTGCATGATCTCACCACTCCCCTCTCTTCTCTTCCCTCACCTCACCCTCCCATCAACCTCTGCTTCTTCCCCCCAATCCAGGCGGAGTGTGAGGATGTGATGGGGCGGGTGCGCGCACTCACAGACGAGAATCAGACGATTCGAGCTGGTGTCCTCTGTTCCTAAACCTCTGCCTCTTGTCTCTGCCTTGCCCGCCTGCCAATCTCTTCACCCCTCTTCCCCAACCCCACACACTCCCCCCCCCGCCCAATGCAGGCGGAGTGTGAGGATCTGATGGGGCGGGTGCGCGCGCTGACGGACGAGAATCAGACGATTCGAGTGGAGCTGCAGCGCATGCAGGAGGAGTGCCACAAGATGGCTCAGCAGAACGCACTGCTGCAGGTGGGTGGGTGGGTGGGTGGGTGGGTGGGTATGGTTGTCAAAAGGGAGCTGCAGCGCATGCAGGAGGAGTGCCATAAGATGGCGCAGCAGAACGCCCTCTGGGCATGCAGCACAGAGCATGCAGCACAGAGCATGCAGCACAGAGCATGCAGCACAGAGCATGCAGCACAGAGCATGCAGCACAGAGCATGCAGCACAGAGCATGCAGCACAGAGCATGCAGCACAGAGCTTGCAGCACAAAGCTTGCAGGGGGAATGCCACAAGGTGGCCTGGCAGAACGGTGCTGCTGCAGGTGTGTGGATAGCGCGGTTGCTTAATCTGTTGTAATAGCTGCTGCTGTTCTTTCTTCCTCTGCTACTCCCCATACCCATCCACTCCATTCATCCCATCCACTCATTGACACAACTTCTCCATCTGCTCCATCCCAATCCATCCATGCCCTCCACTCATCCACTCATCTGCTCCATCCCACTCCATCCCATTCTCAGGAGAGGTTGAATAGCAAGGCAGCACCAGGTGGTCCGTCCACACACTCTCCAGCCCCATCAAGCCTCCATCCTGCCGCCGCCCTCCCTCTGACATCCTCGGGACTTGGCCCGCACGCACTGCCACCGCACATGCCACCAGATGGAACCGCAGCCGTTGATCCTTCCGGAGCTGCGATGCCATTGGTCGGTGCGCCTGGTGGTGATGTGAATGGTGCGCTAGTGCCCGTAGGTCAGCAGCAGTTTCAGCAGGGAGGGGCAGGGGGGGGGGTGTTAGCAGTTGGCAATGGTGGTGGGCATGGAGGGGAGGGGTTAGGTGCCGTTGTTGGAGCAGCAGCAGGGAGGTTAGGGCAGGGGAGTGAAAAGAACAATGTTGTGACAGCTGTTTCATAAAGTTGGTGTGGTAGTGATATTTTTTGCAACTATGTAGCTAGTGTTTAAAGAGTGTAAGAGAGATGTCAGAAATAAATCATCAATTCGCCAGAGTTCTTTCTTATCCACATGCCCGTTTTCCCGAGTCGCGCCTGTAAATTTACAAATTTACGCGTCACAAACAGCTGATGTATCGCGACATTGTGCGACAGAAAACCAAGTACACATGGACAAATATGATTGGCTCGTCCCATTGGGCCCGAGTTTAGGATGTTGGCGCCGGGCACGGCTGTAAACATTTTGCTGCAGTTGCAACACACCTACCACCCTACGCTCAACGAAGCAAAGTGCTTCACATCACATCATCACCTACAAATGCACATCGAGCATAGTTGTCAAATGTTATAGCCTCTAGTGGGTCATGCTATATGGGGTACAAACAGTTAGGGTTAGGCATTTGTACCCCAACCCAATCAATCCAACTCATTCTGCTGTGTTTAGTTTCTAAGATGGTATCAGCAGTAGGTTCGCCGTTCCTAGGCCACACTTAGTCTCCGCCGTTCCTAGACTTCGGCCGTGGCTAGCCTTGGCGTGAAACCCCCCCCCCCCCCCCCCCCCCCCCGTCTGCCCTAAGCACGCTAGCCAGCAGGCCCGCCAGCGCCCTAGCCAGCAGGCCCGCCAGCGCCTTCGCCAGCAGGCCCGCCAGCGCCCTAGCCAACAGGCCCGCCAGCGCCCTAGCCATCAGGCCCGCCAGCGCCCTAGCCAGCAGGCCTGCCAGCGCGCACGCCAGCGCGCACGCCAGCGCCCACGCCAGCGCGCACGCCAGCTCGCACGCCAGCGCGCCACGCCGGCGCGCATGCCGCCCGCCAGCCAGCGCGCCGCGCCGCGCCGCCTGTCCGCATGCCACGCCGCCTGCCCACCTGCACGCCTGCGCGCTTGCCCACACGCCACTGACTGTCTCCCCCTCCCGCGGCTGGCAGCCGCGCTCTCTCAGTTTCGCCCCCTATGGCGACCTCCCGAGTACTTCGATTTGACCCTGAAGGGAGACCGATTCACTTTAGTACGTGGCTTACGCAGACGCAGCGCCACCTTAAGAGCCAGCGGCAGGATGGCGTGCACTTGTTCGCACACGCGTCCGGCACTCAGACCGCCCCTCTGCAGCCTCAGCCGCTGCCCACTACCCCACCGCCTACTTCTGAGCAGGAGGCCGACTACCAGCGCCAGCTCCTCGCTCGCGACGTGTGGGAGTCTCGTGACGCCGCTGCCTGCCTCGCCCTGACCGACCTTCTCCCGCCGATAGAGGCAGTCCACTTCGCTCAGGTCAAGTCTGCTGCAGATCTGTATAAGGCTATTGTTACTCGCTACTCCACTCCCTCATCTGCTTCGCTCAGTCGCCTCCTCGTACCCTTTATCTACCCTGACCTCGTCTCCTTTGAGACTGTCTCTGACCTCGCTACTCACCTGCGCTCCCTTGATGCTCGCTTTCGCGCTGCTTGCACTGAGGACCAGCTTGCCCTTGCCCCACCCCCTATGTGGCTCACTATTCACTGGCTAGTCACTCGCCTCCCTGACCGCCTAGCCACAGCCCGCGACGCGCTTCTTCTGAAGCACCCCACTGAGCTTACCATCGATCTTCTTGAGACGGTTCTCTCGAAGATCGAGAGTAACCTTCTCATTGTTGCCTCTACCTCTTCTGCGCCTCCTCCTCGTCTTTTTGAGGGGTGTGCGGTACCACAGCTTCCCACCTTCTCTGCCTCACTTGCCACCCCCACGTCTTCTGCCTCTGAGGAGACGGTGGTTGTTTCTGTCTCTGGTGGGCAGAAACGTGGCAAGGCTGGTAAGAGGGGCGGGAAGGGCGGCGGGGGTACTGGAGGTGGTGTGGGTAGTGGCGGTGGCGGTGGAGCAGGTGGTGCAAGTGGTGGTGGGGGTGGCTCGGGACCTGACGGCCCTCCTTTCGACGGTGGAGTTTTCACTGGTGGTGAGGGGTCCCAGTAGCAGCAGCAGCCGACTCCTCAGCACCTGACACCGCCTGGACAGCAGCAGCGGCAGGGACAGCAGCAGCAGCAGCATCAGGGCCATCAGCAGCGCCCGCCACAGCAGCAGCCTCAGCAGTGGGGCCCTCCACAGCAGTAGGGCCCTCCGCAGCAGTGGGGCCCTCAACAGCAGTGGAGGTCAGCGGGTCCCCAGAGCACTGGGCGCAGTGGCGCCCCCTCCAGTCGGGGACCTCGCTCGGCCGGCCGCGACGTTGGTCCCTGTGAGTACTGGATCCTTACGGGTCCTCGTCGGGACTCGTACTGTGGCCGCCCCGACCACTCTGCTGCATGCTGCTTCAGTCGTCTCGACGACCTCTACCGCTTGCACCACGGCCCCTCTGCTCCCCCGCCGCCATGCTGGGGGACACTTCTTGCTCGTGGTATTGCTGTTTTTGATATGACTATGGATGATGCTAGGTCATATGAAATGTATGCTGATGTTGACTATAGTGCTTATGGATCTGTGTACTTGCCTGTACCTAGCTTGGAATCTTTGCCTGTTGCTAAAGTAAGTGCTAGTGTAGGATCTCGTTTAGCTACTAGTACAGGTACTCCCTCGGCTGTCGCCTCTCTCTCCTTCACACTGGACCCCGGAGCGTCACACTGCTTCTTCCGCAACTGCACGACTCTCTCTCCGCTACCAGCGCCTGTCCCTGTAGCACTGGCCGATCCCTCTTCGGGACCGGTCATTGCGACTCACGCCACTACACTCCCGTGCCCAGCTGCTCCTTCCGGTTCCTTGACTGGCCTCCACGTTCCTACGTTCTCTCGGAACCTGGTTGGTGTGGGCACCCTGGCGAGATAGCACGTCGGGGTCTGGGTTGAGCCTTCTGGTGACACCGCGGTCTGTGTGGACGGTGACACGTACGCCCCCTTGGCCACTTTTTGCCAGGAGCCGGGCTCCGGTGTGTACACCCTCCGCACCGACCCCCGTCAGGTTCCCCCGTCCCACCAGGTAGCTGGGTCCAGTCAGGTTGCTGTGTCAGGCGTATTTGCTGCGTCGTGCTCGTGTTGGTCGCTTGCCCACCCCTCCCTCCTCTGACACCACCGCCTTGGTCACCCTTCCCTCCCTCGTCTCCGCGCTATGTCCAGTCAGCGTCTTGTCTTAGGCCTCCCCCGAGTCCTCCCGCCACTCCCGCCATCCCCAGCTCCTCCGTGCGGTCCTTGTGTCCAGGGTCGGCTGCGCGCCACCCCTCACTCCTCCTCCCTTCGTCCGGCCACCGAGCCCTTCGAGACTCTCCACTTAGACGTCTGGGGCCCCGCTTCCCGCCTTGGCCCTGCGCGTGAGAGTTTCTTTCTGGTGGTCATTGACGACTACTCTCAGTACACCACCGTGTTCCCTTTGGCGAAGAAGTCCGATGTAACTTCTACGTTGATCCGGTGGCTCCTCGCCATCGAGGGCACTCGCGATCGTCGTGTCAGTTGTCTTCACTCCGACCGTGGGTGAGAGTTTCGCTCCGGCATTCTCGCCAGATTCTGTGCTGAGCAGGGCATCACCCAGTCCTAGACTCTTCCAGACTCTCCACAGCAGAATGGGGTTGCTGAGCGCCGCTTAGGCCTGGTCATGGAGATCGCCCGCACCTCCATGATCCACGCCCACGCGCCCCATTTTCTGTGGCCCTACGCGGCTCGGTACGCCGCTCACCAGCTGAACCTCTGGCCTCGCGTCTCTCGGCCAAAGGCTTCACCGACAAGTCTTTGGACAGGGTCCCCTGGTGTTGCGTCGAGGTTTAGTGTCTGGGGCTGCTTGGCTCTTGTCCGCGACACCTCTGCGGACAAGATCTCGCCTCGCGCTGTCCCCTGTGTCTTCCTTGGTTTCCCAGAGGGCTCCTCTGACTTCACCTTTTACCACCCTCCCTCCCACCGGTACCCCTGTCGAGGTCTCCCGGTCCCCCCCCCTCCCCTCTTCCTGGCTCCAGCTCCTCCTCCTCCCGCCCCTCCTCCTCCTGTACCCCCCCCCTGTTCCCGCTCTGTCTGGTGTGTCCCACGCTACTCCCCCCCCCCTTGGTACCCCCCCAGGTCTCTCCTCCTTCCCCACAGTCGTCCTCACCGCCTCCGCAGTAGCCGTCAGTGCTTCCTTTACTGGCCACTGCGGCCTCTGAGGGTGTTGGTGCTCGAGGTGAGGGCTCTGGCGTTGCTCGCTCTGGGGGTGTTGGCGTTGGCGCTGAGCGTGCACCTGCCGCAGCTGCCCGTTCCGAGGGTACTGGAGCTGGTGGTGGTGCCGGAGCTGGTGGTGTTTCTGGAGCTGGAGAGTTTGGGGCTGGTGCTGGTGCCACTGGAGGCACCACGACTGGGGGTGCGGGTACACCTCCTACAGGTACTGGTCGTGCTGCCGCGGGAGGTACTCGCTCTAGGGGTGCTCAGCCGAGTACTGTCGAGGACGGAGCCGGTTCTTCTGCTGCATCTCCTGACACCACTCCTCCTCCTCCTCACCCCTACCCGACTCGTTACCAGGCCCTTCTTCGTCTAGAGCGTGAGGAGCAGCAGCGTTTGGAGCGTGAGAGGTCGGAGGTTCAGCAGTGGGTGGAGCGTGAGAGGTTGGAGTTGCAGCGGGAGCAGCAGCAGCAGCAGCAGCAGCAGCAGCAGCAGCCGCAGCAACCGGAGCAGCCTCCGGCCCCTGTTTCTGGCCTTCGGGCCCTTGGTCTCCCCTCCTCCCCTCCTGTGTTCGGTCCTATGTTTCCTCCTCCGGACTCAGCTCCGGGTGTGTTCCCTCGTTCTCAATCTCCTCCGTCTCCCTCTCCTCTCGCCCACACTTGGACCTCTCGTCCCCCTCGTGCTCGTCCTTCGTCACCTGTCACTGACCTCCGTACCGTGTTGTTTCGCCCTAGTCCTCCTCGTCCTCCTCCGTCCGTTCTTCCTCGTCATCCTAAGTCGTCTCTCACTGCCTCCCTGTCCACTCTGGTCACTGACTACTACCGCACGTACCGCCCTACTCTCTCTCTCTCTCTCTCTCTCTCTCTCTCTCTCTCTCTCTCTCTCTCTCTCTCT